TCCTTCTCTCCTTCCTTCCCTCCTTCCTTCCCTCCCTCCTTCCTTCCCTCCTTCCTTAATAATAATAATATATGAGGGAAGCAGTAATGACCCAATAGCTGCACCAGGGTAGGAAAGTGGAAATGAGGGCAGATGAGAGGCCCGCCTTTCACTGTATGGGTGAGGCCTTGCTGCTAAAACACACACTCTTTTTAGAAGCAACCTAATTGTTCCTAACTTGTCTGTTTTTTAGAGCTGTGTACCAGGATGCCGACATCTATCTTTTGGATGATCCGTTAAGCGCGGTGGATGCAGAAGTGAGCAGGCATTTGTTTGAAAGGTATGTAACGTTCCCAGGGCCCTTTTAAACATCTACATTTCTCTTTGATGGTTCTCCTTTCTTAAACTGTACATGGAAGCAAGGTTAACTTCAAACATTTAAAGACCCTCAGTGGGTTTTGTAGCCTGGTGAATAAATTATTGCTCCTATCTTATTGTAATGATAGAAAATCAGAATCATTTATGTGAACGTTTCAAAAATATTGGGAGAAGGGGACTCAATATTTCTGTCACAAGAAGAACAGCTGATGTGATTATTAAAGGGCTGTTTTTGTTGAATAATATTTTTGAGTTAAGAATTATTTTTCCCAATTAAAGAGTAGAATCCTACGTTTATTTGGAACTGCCTCTGAACTCAGTAAAATCTTATCCAATGCATCCTTCATTGATTAATTCATTTCTTAAATGGTATAGAGTCTCCTGCTTGAGGTTGGACTAGAAGACCTCCAAGGTCCCTTCCTACTCTGTTATTCTGTTCGTCTGAACCATAACTGGTAGCTAAAGCAAATAGCTAACAAGAATATATACTTACATACATTTGCACACTATGGTCTTTTTGTTTTTGAGTGAGAGGAAAGAAATATTCTTAAAGTAGAAGCTAATGACTATGATTGTAGATTATAGTTGCTTTCCATGTACCTCAAAAAATCATGGGGCTTTTATGGTGATGTTTTATAATATTGATAACAGTGATTTCTTTTTGAAATTTTAGCATTCCTTAATGCTCCTTTACAGTACTTCATCCTCTTCCCATATACTCAAGGGTGGGTTCCTGCCAGTTCTAACCTCTTCTATAGAAGAGGTTCTACAAATCTAAAGTGCCGTTTAGAACCGGTTCCAGCTCCCTCCCCCCGCCCGTCCGCACATCATCAAGATGAAGAGCGAGAGGTGGAATTCTGGGAGTTTAAGTCCACAAGTCTTAAAGCTGTCAAGTTTGAACATCCTTGGGTTTTTTTTCTAAAGTGTTAGGGGTGCAAGGGTCTTGTAACTTGACTGCTTTAAGACTTGCATTCTTCAAGTGCCAGAGTTTCTGAGCNTTAACTTTTACAAAGCACATATAAACTGGCACATATTGCCAGTTTTTTTCTGTTTTTTTTCCTGACAACCATGTTCCATATTGTATAATTATATTTCAGTTACATTGCAGTTGGCTGAAAGTGACATGTTTCTGTTGAAGTCAATGCAAGGTCAAAGTGAGGGAAAATCTTGATTGTATAACCAGAAAGTTTAAAGTCCTTAGAAGCTGTAAAAAGGAATAAAGTGAGCTATTTCCGCCACCTTGTGGAGATTAAAGCATAATGTTTAAAAAGGCCAATGGCCTATTATTTCTTTCTGTCATCATGGTGGAACAGTATTTTAGAATTAGAAACAATGAGTTATGTTTAATATCAACCTTTACTTGAAACTTGATTGTTGCTTTAAATCCAATCAAGTTTAACGTTTAGTAATATTGAAGGTACCTGGATCAAATAAAAGAGGATGAGAAAGTTAGTATAACGGTAATAGAAGGGCAGTTGTTTCTTATTTCTGAACATGAATAACATTTTCTCATGCTGATTTCTTGCTGCTTATATTACTATACGGTCTGATTAAAATTGATATTATTTCTAATTTTTTCTTTGAATGTTCTTGTTTACAAGAGAATTAGGTATGAATTAAATATACTATTAGGTAATATGGGTGTGTGTGGTTAAGACTCGTCTCTGACTTATCTATTTTGCAAGAAGTAATTTTAATCAGACTATAAAGGAAAAAACCTATTAATTTTATAAATAATTATCAGTTTATATCTATAAGGAATGTACACGCCATCTTGCATTTTTTGATCCCATGTGATATTTCACAGATTCTTTGGATCTCGATAGATGGGAGTGATTAAACCTTACACTAGGGGAAAGAGTAATACTCTTAAATTAGATTGTTTTCTAAAATGTTATAAATTTTGGATGGAATTCCTATAAATGTAAACACTGGGAGCCAAGATTAACGGAAGGCCTAAAACAATGAATAGAGTCAATGAATATATTTTGGTTTAGTTTTCTTCAGTTTTATTTTTTTCCATAAACATTTATATTGTTTTTGATTGTTTGTATTCAGTTAATGAAAGCAAGTAAATGAATGCATAAATAATAAAAACCATATTAATTACTTCCCAAACAAATAGACTATGGAAATGGCAACACTTCAAGACATTTCATTATCTGTCAAACCAGGAGAATTACTCACTGTGATTGGCCCTGTGGGAGCGGGAAAGGCAAGTTTTGATTTTTTAAAATTGTTATGTTGTCCCTTGAATGTTCATTCTGAAACATTTGAAAACAGGCATTTTGTCCCTGTTCACTCTCTGGGATTCGATCTGCTGAATCTCAGCAGATTCAGCAGATTGGGTATAGTGAGTAGGATGAGGTAACACTGGGCTTTGTCAGAACTGACCAATACTGATCTTTCCATTATCAGGTAATATAGGTGTCAGCGTTCCAAGTATCATGCAGAATTAAATCAGAGNGTGGGGGCGATATGCTGACTCTGTAAACCGCTTAGAGAGGGCTGACAGCCCTATGAAGCGGTATATAAGTCTAACTGCTATTGCTATTGCTATCACCCATTGCTCTTATGGGTTCTGGTGCGCCGGCCAGCTGGTCTTCATGTGAAAACTGGAAGAGCAGCCGCATGGTGCACATGCGTGCACTGGGTACCTTCTCTTCTGGTTTCTGGCACATGCATGTGCACCAGCCACCTGATCTTCTTGTTTCATGCGTGCATGGAGACCTGATCTTCTTGTTTCATGCATGCATGGAGTCCAACTGGAACATCATCTTCCTGGTGTGTGCATGTGCACTGGGGGCTGGTCTTCCAGTTTCTGGCACGCATGTGCGTGTGCGCAAGTACTCTCGCTTTGGCACTCAGTGCCAAAAAGGTTTGCCAACACTGACTTAGACAATTGCTCACTTAATCGAGAGAGACAGTACTGTGTAGCAGTTAGTAGATTTCTGGATTCCAGAAGATTCCAGAGAAATCCAGGTTCAGGTTTCCTCTCAACTACGGAAGCTGCTTGGATGAGTCACTCTCTCTTAGCATCACCTGGTTGACAGAAATAATGCTATGAGGTGAAAAAAAAGGAGAAAGAATAGTATATACTTCATCTTAAGCTCCTGAATAAAAGGATATAACTTTAACAAAAAATGAATAAATAAAGGATAATTCATTACAATCAGGGGAACTCAGGGAAATACAATGCACTGATGACTTCATTAAGTATTAAGAAATATGATATTTTTGGTACAAAATGTCTATTATTGATCATTAGTAGTAAAAAATTTGGACCCACATTTTAACATCCATCCACTGAAGCGGGCCCCCTGTCCATGAAAGACAAGTTAGAACAATTAGTGAAACAACCTGCTTCCAGAAGTTGTGAATGCTCCAACACTGGACGTTTTTAAGAAGATGTTGGATAACCATTTGTCTGAAATGGTGTAGGGTTTTATGCCTAAGCAGGGGGTTGGACTAGAAGACCACCAAGGTCCTTCCAACTCCATTATTCTATTCTAAGTGGCTAGAATAGAGGTGTAACTGATGAAANTTGAATCCCACCACTGAAGCAGAGCTTCAAAGAATTGACCAAGTGAACCTAGACTGAATTAGAACTGGCAGAGGCACAGCTGAAGTGAGATCTGAACTTCCTACTAGCTAGCATTGGAAAAACATGGTCTTTATTTTGATTTTACAGCTGCAAACATAAAAATTTAAAGCTGAAATTTGTAAGTATATAAAACATTGAATGCTGAAATCTCTTCACTTTCAGGGAAATAGATGTAGGCAACTTGAATCTAGACTGTTTAGGTTCCATGCCTGTTGTTTGCTCTTTTATTCAAAATTAAATGAATTACAAATAAAAATGCAAATAAAGTCAATAAAGATCAAACAGACATAATCTAATATCTCCCCTCTTCCTCTTTCTAATGTCACTAATAAAGAAAATTTTGTTATGTTGCTTTGCAGTGTGCCATTTATGTTCATATTGACTGAAGCAATATAAAAACCCGTGAAAGAAATAACATAAATAAATAAACTAGGAAAAATATCCTGTTCATTAAATGCCAATTAACAAATTTTAATTGTTCCACATATCCTTATATAAACCAGCTATAAGAAAGAATGTTATGTATTTCTAATTTACTTACAAGACTTGTAATAATTATTTTTTAAATAATTTTATAAAGAAATTATTTTTGGTAATCAAAATTTTGCCTCCTTCCAAAATACGACAAATTATTCATCTATTACCAAGATCAATGGGACACAGTGGCTCAATGGCTAAGATGCCGAGCTTGTCGATCAGAAAGATTTGAATCCCTAGTGCCACCTAATGGAGTGAGCTCCCGTTACTTGTCCCAGCTTCTGCCAACCTAATCTAATATCTAATAGCTATCAATTTTGCTACCATTAACACATGTCCTGTTGACACTTTATTTTTCAATGAGGTCTTCTGATCTATAAATAATTTAGTAATTGATGAGGACAATACTATGGAATTTCCTAAAACAAAGTTGTCCTAAAATTGGGCTATCACATATACGTTGTTGACCCATGACTTTTACCACCTTTCCAACATATGAAATTTACTTCTGTTATACAATTGTTAATGGTGTGGTATCCCATCTATGAAAGGGAGACTCGTTGAAAAAAGTGCACTTTAGACTTATCTGGTTAGGATGGCATGAAGCTTTCAGATAGATCAGTTTCCAAAAAGATATAATTCCCAAGTCACCCATAAAATTTACTATCAAAAATTAACACATTTAGAAATTTAGTTTTTAATAAAATAGAGTGTATTATCAATAAAATAAAATTAGATTATTGCATAAATAAATATTTTAGTTTGGAGAAGTCCCCAAAACCTTCCCTGGCAGGATTCTCACCTGCCTTTATTTTTCTTCCTAAATTAATATGTTTCACGGATGAACAAATGTTGAATGTACTAAAACTACACCAGGGCTATCTTTATGGAGAAAATGGAAAAGAATGAATAACCAAGATCCTGATGGCCCCATTACACACCATATACTGTATGTTTTAGATGACAGACTCAGACTGAAGTAATCCAAGTTAGTTTTAGATTCACCCAATTCTGAATCCTAGCTTCAGTTCTGGCTTACTGAGCATAAAGACTTTTTTCTTAAAAAAAAATTATAAATAGATTGTTATATTTCTCTCCAACTATTATTTAGAAAAAGATTGTGGAGAAGAAATTTATCAGTTGGGAGAATTGACAAGTGGGATAGTGACCCTCTATTATATTATTAGAATTTTCCGACTGACTTGTATTATATGTCATTTGGGAGGGAAAAAAGCCAGGAAATTAATAGTAACTGATAGGACATGTATTTTTATTGCTGCCTTAATGAGAATAATTTAATCAGTTGCTTTGGGCATCAAGGTAAACCCTTGTTTATTAAAAGAGAAAACCACTTTTCTTCTTTCTGCTTACACCACAGCCAGAGAAGGTCCTGAAAGTTTTATATCTCGTTTTATTTCTGTAACTGTCAGTTATAGTTGCATCCAGACTCTAAAATATGATAAATTGTAACTATGATTTGTTGAAATATTCACTTCAAAACCATGATAATGAAATATATAACTAAGATGTTCTAGAATTAAGATGACACAAAGAACTCAGATTTACAATATCTAGCCAAACAGGTTTAACCTTGAAAGAGCTAAGCAAAGACTGTAGACTAGACTGGAAAGTTGAAGAAATGTTCTGGAAGAAAGCAACAGTTGAGCCACTTCTGTACTATGACTAAGGAAACAACATGGAGGTGTAGTTGATTAATCAAAACCAGAAGGGTACATTTCCATCTCCACATCAGCTTTCTGGAGAAGGAGAAAAATATCAAGAGAATGTATGCGTTATTGCTGTATTTCTCATTCCTAGCATGAGATATCATGTTTTTGATTTTCAGTCTGGACTATTACTTAGACCCGTGATGGTGAACCGATGCCAGAAGTGGCACACTGAGCCATCTCTCTGGGCATGTGAGCAATCAATGAGGACCCAGACTGTGGGGGCGATATGCTGACTCTGTAAACCGCTTAGAGAGGGCTGACAGCCCTATGAAGCGGTATATAAGTCTAACTGCTATTGCTATTGCTATCACCCATTGCTCTTATGGGTTCTGGTGCGCCGGCCAGCTGGTCTTCATGTGAAAACTGGAAGAGCAGCCGCATGGTGCACATGCGTGCACTGGGTACCTTCTNTTTTTTAAGGCAATCCAGGTCAAATTCTATGTTTTAATTACTATATTTTTCAGAGTATAAGACGCACCAAGATTTTGAAGAGGCAAATTAAAAAATAAAGTTTTTGCACTCTGAAGACCTCCCAAAAACGACCCATTATTTGTGAAAACGGCTCCATTTTTTATCAATAAAAGGCATGCATAGCCTTTAGGAGGCTTATAGAGTGCTCCTGGGGGCTGAGGGTCAGGCAAAAATGAACCAAAAATGGTCCCTTTTTTGCTCATTTTTGTCCTCCCCAATCCCCAGGAGCACCCTGGAAGCCTCCTAAAAGCTATGCATGGCCATTTTTGCAAAGGGGGCAGGGTTTCAGGAGACCAAAAATGCTGTATTCAGTGTATAAAATGTACCCAGATTTTCATCCTCTATTTTGAAGGGAAAAGGTGCGTCTTATACTCTGAAAAATATGGTAATCCCTAATGAATGGAAGTTGATACAACATTGCACAAACTTAAATACATTTTCCCCATAAATCTGAATGAACAGTTACTCTTTATGTGCAGCTGTGCACAGATTGAGAGTAAGAACAGTGCATGTGTCAAGAGCAGAAGTTTGGAAGCCCTTCAGAAGGTTGTGCTATTTTACTGCATGTTTGAGACTTCTTTGTATATGTTTAATAATATTCAGGTGGTGAGCACTGTGAAAGCCATTCCCAAATCTTTACTTTTATTCAAGATTGATTTGGAGGTATCAATCCATCAAATCTTTATTTGGGTCTTAGATTAGCACAAGGTATTTTAATAATAACATTGAATCTTATGAAAGACAAAAATAGCACAAAGCTAGCATTGATATCACAATACTGAACCATAATAGTGAAACATTAAAATCTCTCTACAAAATTCTTAATACTAACTCTAATAACCTAAAACAGAGGGTGAAGGCCACAAAAATATGTATGTCTATGGACATACTCTGTCATCCAGGTCATGGTTGTTCCAAAGGTGCTTTTTCAAAAGGCAACTGGAATTCTTTTGTTTTTGCTTGAAGATGTTTCGCTTCTCATCCAAGAAACTACTTCGGTTCTCTTCAGAACCAAAGAAGCTTCTTGGATGACAAATGAAACTTCTTCAAGCAAAAACAAAGAAAATCCAGTTACCTTTTTAAAAAAGCACCTGTGGGTATTGTGGTTAACTTCACACCATGAACAGTTGCTTCTGTTCACTTATTAACAAAAACACAATTTTACTAGAACAGGGATCCCCAAACGTTTCTATACCCCACACCCCTAGAACACTTCTGATATATTCTTGCACCCCTTTAAAAATAAATAATTATATGCATATAATTATACATATACACTATAATTTTGAAACTTCCAAACCCAAGTTTTTGCATCCCCTGGAATATTTTCTCGTACCCTTAGGAGGTGCGAGCACCCCCGTTTGGGAACTCCTGGACTAGAAGAATCTAAAATTTTTGCGCATAAATATGTGCATGTACCATATTTTTTTACTATAAGATGCACCGGAGTATAATTGATTTTGAAGAGGTAAATTTTTAAAAAGGTTTTTGCACTCTGCAAGCCTCCCAAAACCTCTGCACGCTTCATTTTTTTCAAAAATAAAGGGCATGCAAAGCTTTGGGAGGCTCCTAGAGTGCTCCTGGCAGCTTGGGGGGGGGAGGGGGGCAAAAACGAGCAAAATATGGCCTGTTTTTCACTCGTTTTTGCTCTCCCCAGCCCCCAGGAGCACTTTGCAACCCTCCCAAACTCTCTGCACATCCATTGTTGCAAAGGGAGCAGAGTTTTGGTAGGCCAAAAATGCTGTATTCAGTGTATAAGACACACCCAGATTTTCACCCTCTTTTTTGGGGGTGGGTGGGAAAGATGCATCTTATAATCCGAAAAATATGATATGTATTTATTTTTGTATAGTATGTACATCTAAAAAGAAAAGGCTCAAGTATAGTTTATAATACTTGAAACATGCTTTGAATTTAAACCACAAGGCATCAAATAATCCAAAATACATTCTAAAAGAATTGTTTTAACCGTTTTAGGTTACTTATGTACTTCAGGATTGGTGGCTTTCTTATTGGTGAGTGATTGTTTCTATATAAATCATCTAAATGTTCACTTTTAAAAATACGGCAAATGAATAAATCAGGAATTTTGATCCATGTTCTTTTAGAAAACAGGACAAAAATACTTTTATTCTTTGGAAATCCATACAGCAATTCTTCATATTAATTTATAGTATTTTTGGGTAAGCATAGTTTGAATTTATAAAAAAATGCATTGACCCTTTCTCTTTACTCCACCCCAAAACCATTATTTCATTTTTATTTTGTGCATTGTGTTTTTACCATCTTCCATTAAAAATATTCCTAAATTCTCTCTCCCTCAAAAATATAAAAATGTGCAGCTCATTAGTAGAAAATAAAATAAAGCATTGTACAAAATAGCAATTAGCCAGAAAGCCACTTCTTGGATGAATTATGTGAGATCATCCAGATAAACTATGATTTTTTCACAGTATTTAATGACCACATGAGACTTCTAGCAAATCAATCAGTATTAAACTGTATCAACAAGTTTGTCTGATAATAAAAAGCCACTTGGTCCACTTACTGTTAAACAAAGCAGAGACTACTATTTTACTAGCTATGATTTTTCTAGTGTATAATTTACACTTTTGAAAACCCTTCTTCTGTTTCAATAGATATATCAATATTAATCTTAATAAAATGAGAGAGGGTTTAATGGAAGACAATTTTTAACCCAAGATTTAAAAATATCATATACAATCGACAAATTTTTGAAATAGTGTATGAATAAAGTACACATTCAAAGTTAAAAAAATACAATTGAAACAACAAAACAAAGTAAGAGAAATTCAGTAAATAAAATTGTGACAAATGCAACACTGTACCAGTACAAAATCTTCAAAGATCTTCAAAGTATCCTTTTAACATGCATCTTTTAATGAAATGGATTACATTTACCTTAATTTCTTTTTGACTATATGCCATTGATTTAATTAAATGAATTTACAGTGAGTGAATTATGCAGTTTATAAAAGAAACCTCACATTCACAAATTTTGTTCATGGAGGCTGTGTGTTCTAATATATCACGGGGTATCCCAGCTTTGAAACAATCCAAGTAGAGAAGAGCCTCGACATTTATTTAAAAAACTTTTAGATCCCAGATTGGGATAGAATTAAATATTTTAGTACTTTAAACTCTACGCTATATTCTATGTGAAAATGGTGTTGTTAACTGTATTATATTTCTATGCTCTATGCTACCATACATTTGTTGAAAGGTAATGCAAATGTTCTATTAAACATAGACAACATCATTTGGAACAAACCCTGATTTTTACTATTTATTTCCGGGGCAAAATTAAATGTTATGAAACACATAACATTGCCAAAGCAGGCGGTACCTTTGCATTGATTTTCCTCTTCCTTATTTAACATATAATAGCAGAAGTCCACATATGTTTTTTTATTTCAGAAATTACAGACTACACTTGAAGGACTATGCATTTCAATGTGAGCTGTTTGGGAACATTTGCTAAACTTTTCTGAAATTTAGAGACCAGAGATTTATTCCAAGCTATATATTCTCATGTGCTTGCAAACTTGTTTGAAATACCTTCTTTCCATGTGTCCACAGGGCAAACCAGCAAGTAATGATAAATGTCACTAGAATGGAATATGGTGGGCAAAATATCACAGAAAATCTGGATCTTCCCTGGTATTTAGGAATATATGCAGGTAAAAACATTTAAAATATCACTATAATTTGCAAAAGTCTATACCTTGATCCTAAAATATGAGGGTTTTTAAAAAATAACTTTTAAATGTTACTAGATAACCTATCTCCTATTGGATCATTGTTCTAGCAATATTTCCTTATCATGTAAGTTGTGGGTATACCCCACATATTCTTCCCAACCCCTAGTGTACAACTCCACAATCTCCATGCATCTTCCTTGAACTATGTGGCATCTCTCATGCACCCTGTCCACACCGCCTGAACTGCACCCCGCCTCTTGCATCCTCCATCTTGGGTGGTGCTGACAGGAATTGTATGCAGGAGTGTGGTGCAGATCAGGAAGGGTGTCAGCCAGGCCCAGGTGTGCAAGTGCAGGTTGCAGAAATTGGGAAGGTACATGAGTATGTGCAAGAGGTGCCTTGAATGTTGGACTGTGGTGATGTGGTGCTGGTCAGGAAGGGTGTGTGGAGTGTCCAAGAGAGGCTGGAGAACTTCAGGGTAGGAGAGATTTGCAACCTTTCCTACCAACTTCCCCATTGCTGATGCTCCCTGCCAGCTTCCCATAAGCAAAGACTTTGTGAGACGTTGGCAGAGAGCATTGGCAATCAACAATCCAGTTTACATTTCCTGCCGGCTTTCCCATTGACTTGTGGGAAGTTATTAGGGAACATAAATGATGATCACTTGGCTCTGACTGTAACAATGTACCTGTGTTGAAGCAGTGGCAACACAGCAACACTGAGATAGCCACACCTTTCCCATTTTTCACTCCCAGGGGTGGAATGGCTCCTGGAATTCTGTAAGTTACATCATTTGGCGTCCCTTGGGTCAAAAATGGCTGTCCTATGATGTACCATTTGAAGATTACAAACAAATACACGTAAGGGGTTTAGTAGTATATATATAATTATAGATTAAGAAGATGCTGTTTTCTTCTTTGATTATTAATTAGATTAGATTAGATCAATACAGAGTCGAGGTGGCGCAGTGGTTAGAGTGCAGTACTGCAGGCCACTTCAACTGACTGCTATCTGCAGTTCGGTGGTTCAAATCTCACCGGCTCAAGGTTGACTCAGCCTTCCATCCTTCCGAGGTGNGGTGCGCTTTATATATGGAAAAAGTTTGAAAAATTAACGTTAACTGATACTGCGGCTTATAATCCGGTGCGCCTTATGGTCGTGAAAATACGGTACATCACAGTAATGATTGAGAAGAATGAATGAAAAGTATGAACGATTTGTCCTCTCTTTTCATAATAAGCAGGACATCTTCTGAACTATATCAAATTTACTGTAACATTCTTGCACAGAATTTGCAATATGCAAATATGCATGAATAATATGCAATTTGTGCATATTTGCAATGTAATCTGCAGATATGCATAAGTGATTTGTAATATGAATAAACATGTGGGATTTTATTTTACCTTATCAAAATAATAATCAAGAAAATAATGTAAAAGAATCATTTTAAATTGTGTAATTGGTAGCCTACATCAAACGTTGATCTTTTAAATTAACCTAGATGCATTATTTCCTCAATTGGGGAACGTAGAAATTAATCTTAACAAAATCCTTTTCCTTAATTTTCACTTCCATTGTATTGTAGATGGGACCACTCTTAACAGCACTGCCAGAAGAAAGTCGATCAGAAGGAAAAATTGGCCTTACCATTTATAAGAAGTATTTTTCTGCTGGTGCAAATTATTTTGTAACTTTTATACTTTTAGTTCTCAATATTTTGGCACAGGTAAGTTTTTTGGGGGGGATCAAAAAGGAAAATATTACTGATAATTGTTTTTAATAGTTTAGCATATACACTTTCCTATTCTGTTCGTATGAAGCGAAGTAGCAAGATTTAATGCATAAAAGAGATATTCTCCTCTTTGAAATAAAGTGGTCAGATTGTAAATCAGCTTGAGATTCATTTACTGCAAGGATGAAGCAGTGATCGATCTGTTCCTTTTCGCACGTAATTTCAAAAGAAAACACTCCATACAATTTGATTATAAAAAGAAAACAGTTTATTGAAATTAGTATTTCAAACATTGCAGTAGGATTTTCTGTTTATAGGGAAATACCTTTTAAAATATATATAATTAGCATAAATTAACATTTAAATATTATGAATTGTTTACTTCTGGACTATAGTAGGATGTTAGGGATATGAACTTGGCTTTCCATTCCAATCCAGGTCTTGGTATCTTTGTGAGATATTGAGAGGCTAAAGCTTCCACAACTTCAGTCTTTTCCACAGACCTGGAGATAATACAGTGAAATTAAAAATAATAATGAGTAAACTTAGTCATACGTAACTAAATTCAAGGAATTGTATTACCATTTTTGCACTACAAGCTGTTACCCCTGACGACGTGGACAAGGCCATGAGAGCTGTAAGTGCCTCCACATGTGTACTGGACCCGTGCCCCTCCTGGCTGGTTGTTAACAGCAGGGAGGTGACACGGGGCTGGATCCAAGCGGTTGTTACCGCTTCCCTTCGGGAGGGGGTCTTTCCCCCCGCATTAAAGGCGGTGGTGGTGAGACCCCTCCTGAAGAAATCATCTTTGGAT